GTTGAAGACATTTTTGATGGTACGTTTTTATCCTGGATGTTTCTTATGATTAAGAAATGCCAGGCTTTAGAATATTTATAAAGTGCCTAGAAAATCAACCTAACAATGTTAGAGTAGATTTGATTCTTTACTTCCTCCCCAAGCGGGGCTGGAACCTGTACTTTTCACTTCATACTTCTACGGCAACACCGCCTAGCATTGCGCAGACGCCTTATCCCCTCCTCTAACTATAGCTGATAAAAATCATAGGCAGACATACATATATATAAATTTACAGTGATTGTATGCTTCTAAAAATAGAACAGCATCCTGTAATTATACTAAAGAGATGAGTAGATGATCATTTCTGTACACTTAAAATACTTTGTGTATTGCGTCTAGATGTCCTTGTTTAATTCCTACGAGAAGGTAACACCTCCCGAAACGAAAGCTGATTTTTATCAGCTATAGTTAGAGGAGGGGATAAGGCGTCTGCGCAATGCTAGGCGGTGTTGCCGTAGAAGTATGAAGTGAAAAGTACAGGTTCCAGCCCCGCTTGGGGAGGAAGTAAAGAATCAAATCTACTCTAACATTGTTAGGTTGATTTTCTAGGCACTTTATAAATATTTTAAAGCCTGGCATTTCTTAATCATAAGAAATCCGATGGACAAGGTATAATTTACAGTTGTCACTACACATAGGCAGACATACATATATATAAATTTACAGTGATTGTATGCTTCTAAAAATAGAACAGCATCCTGTAATTATACTAAAGAGATGAGTAGATGATCATTTCTGTACACTTAAAATACTTTGTGTATTGCGTCTAGATGTCCTTGTTTAATTCCTACGAGAAGGTAACACCTCCCGAAACGAAAGCTGATTTTTATCAGCTATAGTTAGAGGAGGGGATAAGGCGTCTGCGCAATGCTAGGCGGTGTTGCCGTAGAAGTATGAAGTGAAAAGTACAGGTTCCAGCCCCGCTTGGGGAGGAAGTAAAGAATCAAATCTACTCTAACATTGTTAGGTTGATTTTCTAGGCACTTTATAAATATTCTAAAGCCTGGCATTTCTTAATCATAAGAAATCCGATGGACAAGGTATAATTTACAGTTGTCACTACACATAGGCAGACATACATATATATAAATTTACAGTGACTGTATGCTTCTAAAAATAGAACAGCATCCTGTAATTATACTAAAGAGATGAGTAGATGATCATTTCTGTACACTTAAAATACTTTGTGTATTGCGTCTAGATGTCCTTGTTTAATTCCTACGAGAAGGTAACACCTCCCGAAACGAAAGCTGATTTTTATCAGCTATAGTTAGAGGAGGGGATAAGGCGTCTGCGCAATACTAGGCAGTGTTGCCGTAGAAGTATGAAGTGAAAAGTACAGGTTCCAGCCCCGCTTGGGGAGGAAGTAAAGAATCAAATCTACTCTAACATTGTTAGGTTGATTTTCTAGGCACTTTATATATATATATATTTTGTTAGTCAATTGAGTTTTGTTTAAATATACTTTTTCACTTTTTTGTTTTTTTTTGGAAAATGTTGTTTGTGCTGTATTTAGACCCCTCTACCAAGAAATTTGTTTTGCATGCACACATATAAAAAATTACGGTTTTTATCCAATGCAATCATAGGTTTGAATGTTGTTTTCAATTTAGACTTGTTTATATTTTTTCGACTCTTCAAAATTCAAGAGTCTATACTAAATTGAGGTAAATTATATGGCTTTCCAAATACCGTTTCGATTCCTAACATCACTGAAGAGACATTAATTGTCGAAATCCAGATATAGTGTACTAATTTTTGCGCCTTTTGTTTGCGGTATACCATCTTTTCCGCAAGTTTATTGTTTTCTGTTTGGTATTAAATTAATAGTTTAGATCCGGTGATCCGTTTATTTGGCAATTGCCAATGACAGTCAGCAGGGTTTAAAAGATCCGTTGTTCAACCTGCTAGTCAAATGCGTTTTGTTAAAATATACTTTTTCACTTTTTTGGTCTTTTGGAAAATGTTGTTTGTGCTGTATTAAGACCCCTCTACCAAGAAATTTGTTTTGCATGCACACGTATAAAAATTGCGGTTTTTATACAACGCAATCATAGGTTTGAACGTTGTTTTCAATTTAGACTTGTTTATATTTTTTCATTTGGGCTTGTATTATATTTGCCTTTGGGTTTATATGATCCGTTCATCCTATTTCGACTCTTCAAAATTAAAGAGTCTATCCTAAATTGAGTATATGGCCTTCCAAATACCGTTTAGATTCCTAACATCACTGAAGAGACATTAATTGTTGAAATCCGGATGTGGTGTACAAATCAATAGGAATATTATGATGTTGAAAAAAAATTGGTGGTGGTGGTGGGGAGGGGGGGGGGGTAAAAAAGAAATTGTTGGGGGGGGGGGGGGCAATCTTTTCTCATTTCAGATATCAGAAATTTTTTTTTGGTGGGGGGAGTCAATATGCAACAGCATAGTGTATTGCTCAAAAGTAAAAAAAAAGGTAGGGTAAATTTTTTTTTGGGGGGGGGGTGGAATTCGCAACAGCATAGTGTATTGCACAAAAGCAAAAAAGTGAATATAAATTCAAATCATATAACCTATTCTAAGTTCTTTGACTACAGTTATTCTGTGTCAGAAACCTATTATGTGTCAAATATTTAATTACAATCAAAATTCAGACCTGTATCGAGCGCGAATATTGTGTCCATTTTTGCCCCAACTGTTCAGGGTTGGACCTCTGCGGTCGTATCCAGCTGTGCTCAGGGAAGCATTTTATTAAGTTTGATTTTATGTCTGTAATGTTTTCCTTATATTGTAGCATATATCTTTTTTTGTTGGTTTTTTTACGACCGCAAAAAATTTTTGGGATCGTATAATGATATGATGTCGTCTGCGTCGTCGTCCGAAGACACATTGGTTTTCGGACGATAACTTTAGTTAAAGTGAATGGATCTCTATGAAATTTTTTAAGAAGGTTCAATACCACAAAAGGAAGGTTGGGATTGATTTTGGGGATGATGGTCCCAACCGTTTAGGAATTAGGGGCCCAAAACAAGCATTTTTCTAGTTTCAGGATAATAACTTGTGTACAAGTATTTCGATTGCTCTGAAATTGTACCACAATGTTTAATACCACAAGTAGAAGGTTGTGATTCAATTTAGGGGTTAAAGGGGGCCAACATTTTTGGAATAAAGGGCCAAAAACAAGCATTTTTCTAGTTTCCAGACAATAACTTGTGTGTAAGTGTATGGATCTCTCTGGCATTGTACCACAAGGTTCCATATAACAAAGGGAAGGCTGGGATTGAGTTTGGGGTTAATTACTCTAAGGGGGAGGGGGTTCAAGAAGTTTTGGGGGATGGCACACTATTGTTCAATAGTAACAGATCAAGTTCGAATTTTGTTCCGGTCTGATGATTTTGTGCAGAGTTATGAAACTTAGAAAATTCACTTAAATACCGGTAATCAGTTTTCCTCACTTTTATTCGTCATACTTGAAGATATTGACTTGATATTTGTTATAAAGTTTACACCATGACAAGTTATAGATCAAGTTAGCATTTTGTTCCAGTACAATGAATTTTAAACCAATAGGGGACTATGTATTGCCATGCAGTACTCTCAGAATGCTTTGTTCCTTTGTGTAATGCCATAACAAATATCATATACCATTATCATGGAAATACCAAACATCAGTATCTTCATGATGGAGGCCTGCCTGAACATTAGAATAACCGGGTTTACCAAATTTCTCGCATAATTTTTGCTGAAAAGTAAGCTGAAGTACAGAAATGTCCCCAATGTTGGTCATACTATTTGGCATTTTACTTATGATACCATTATTAATGGAAATTCAAAAAAAAGAAACATTGGCTTCACTGTTTGTTTACGTTTAATATACATGAATGGCTAAGTGTTACTATGAAACACATGTACATGGACTTTCTTTTAAAAGAAAATCCTTTCGTCTTCTTGTAATCTAAGTTGTTGATAGCTTTTCCATATGCAGTGACCTTAACCATGAGACCTCTTGTTACTACTATGGCAACCACACAGTGCAAATAAGAGGGAAAACCTGTGATAAGGAAAAGGTAAACAAATGTGGAAATTGGATAGTGTTAATTGATTCATAAAAAAACATTTTAATACACCAAATCATTTAACAACTGTTATGACAAAGTTTCATTAAAACAAAAGTTAAAAAATCAAACATCGCTCTGTTACATGTCTATCAACTCACTTATTTTTCATGTGCTCCATGATTTTGTGTTGATTGTTTATTTAGGTCACGTTCGGTAAATTTCTGCAATAAAACATGAAAGTTAATTAGCATGGAAAGTTTTCACTGAATGAAATATTTTTGTCAATTTTATGTTATGGATACTTAAAAAAAATGTTAAAAAAATCGTGCGTAGATGACTTAGTTTAGTATACATGCATTGGTTAAATAATTTACGTAACATTATAATTTAAAAAAACTCATTTCATATGACTTAGTTCATATGATACTTCAAATTCAACAAAAAAGTTGAACATGTTTTATATACAGGATTTCGCAAGGGTTTTTCTCCTGGCACTTGCACTGTGTGGTTGCCGAGTTTCTCAAGATACATGTAGGTCATTGTTAAGGTCACTGCAAAAGGAAAAGGTGTCAATGAATTAGAGTACAGAACACTATTTCGGTTGTAGTACATTTCTGAAGATTTTGATAAATTAAAGGATTTTCTCTTAAAAGAAAGTCTTTGTACACATATTTTATAGTTAAACAGCCATTCAAGTAATACTTATAAATAAATTTCAGATTAGCTTTTGGCAAGGACTGAACCTTGGTACTACATCAGTACACGTAATCTTACTGTTTCTACTTTTGTTTTTGATAATGTCTTTGATAACTTTTAAACAGATATACAGATAACAGATATATGGATGACAGTGACTGACTTACAAATGATCAACTCTTATTACCTATCAGAACATGAATATGAATATTTTTTTTTCAGGGTAGTGTATTTGCCATGTTTGTGTTCTATCCATTAGATACAGCCAGAACTAGATTACAAGGTATGAGTAACAAACAAAATAATGGAGAAGATAAGATAAGGCCATTTTTTATGCCCCTTGAATTCTAGATCCAAAAAGTATAATTTATCAAATTACGACCTTCAGATGTTCACAAGACATTCAGATGCCAGTTTTTATACGACCGCAAAAAAATTTTGTGGTCGTATATTGGTATGACGTTGGCGTCGTCGTCGTCGTCTTCGTTCGTCGTCGTCCGGCGTCGTCGTCCGAATACATATTGGTTTTCGCACTCTAACTTTAGTTTAAGTGAATGGATCTTTTTGAAATTTGACCATAAGGTTAAATACCACAAAAGGAAGGTTGGGATTGATTTTGGGGGTTATGGTACCAACAGTTAAGGAATTAGGGGCCATAAAAGGGGCCAAAAATGAGCATTTTCTAGTTTCCAGACAATAACTGTGGAACGGTGTATGGATCTCTCTGAAATTATACTACAAGTTTCCATACCACAAAGGGATGGTTAGGATTTGCTTTGGGGGGTTATGGCTCAAACCGTTTAGGAATTAGGGGCAAAAAAGGGGGAAAAACAAGGTTGTCCTGGTTAATGGACAAATACTTTAGTACAAAACATAATTTAAAGCAGTGTAAGGGAGATAAATCAAATACATCATTGAAATTATCTCCCTTACACTGCTTTTAAATTATGTATAAAGTAATGGTTAATGAACAATAAAGATAATCTAAAACAGTGTAAGGGAGGTAATCCAAATACAACGTTTTGGTTACTTCCCTTACACTGCTTTTAAATTATGTTTAAAGAAATGCATATTTATAAAGGAAGACCAGTAAAAATATCTGCAAATGTTTTCATCTTTTTTTTTTACAAAAAAATCCATATGAAAGATTTGACACTATATTTTTATTAATTCTATTATAAAATAGATTAAGTTAGCACTATGGTAAATTTAAATGGGTAATTATGGTTGCCAACTCCATTGGAAATTTGAATTGAGATTATGACCATATCTTGAGGGAAAGAATTTTTTTGGGGGAAAAAGGGGGGGGGGGATAAAAAGAAATTGTGGGGGGCCAATTTTTTCTCATTTCAGATTTCAGAAATTAAAAAGAATTATTCTTCAAATATTATTTTTTTTTTCAAATTTTAAATACTGAAAAATTTCAAGAAGTAATCTTTAATTGCACAGTATGGCGCATTAGATTTGTAAAATCTTTGATCACATTTATTTATTTGTTATGCCGAATCTAACAGTGTATTTAGATTTTTAATTTTGGGTCCAGTTTTCAAATTGGTCTACATTAATGTCCAAAGGGTCCAAAATTAAACTTTGTTTGATTTTAGCAAAAATTGAATATATGAGGTTCTTTGATATGCTGAATCTAAACATGTATTTAGATTTTTGATTTTTGGCCCAGTTTTCAAGTTGGTCCAAATTGGGGTCCAAAATTAAACTTTGTTTGATTTCAACAAAAATTGAATATATGGGGTTCTTTGATATGCTGAATCTAACCATGTATTTAGATTTTTTATTTGTGGACCCGTTATCTAATTGGTTCATATTGAGGTCAAAAGGGTCCAAAATTAAACTTTGTTTGATTTCATCTAAAATTGAATTATTGGGGTTCTTTGATATTCCAAATCTAACTGTGTATTTAGGTTTTTAATTTTGGGTCCTGTTTTTTAAATTGGTCTACATTGAGGTCCAAAGGGTCCAAATTAAACTTAGTTTGATTTTAACAAAAATTGAATTCTTGGGGTTCTTTGATTTGCTGAATCTAAACATGTGTTTAGATTTTTGATTATGGGCCCAGTTTTCAAGTTTGTCCAAGATAGGGTCCAGTATTTAAACTTTGTTTGATTTCAACAAAAATTGAATACATGGGGTTCTTTGATATGCTGAATCTAAATATGTATTTAGATTTTTGATTATGGGCCCAGTTTTCAAGTTGGTCCAAATTGGGGTCCAAAATTAAACTTTGTTTGATTTCAACAAAAATTGAATATATGAGGTTCTTTGATATGCTGAATCTAACCATGTATTTAGATTTTTTATTTGTAGGCCCGGCTATCAAATTGGTTCATATTGAGGTCAAAAGGGTCCAAAATTAAACTTTGTTTGATTTCATCGAAAATTGAATTATTGGGGTTCTTTGATATGCCAAATCTAACCGTGTTTTTAGATTTTTAATTTGGGTCCCGTTTTTTAAATTGGTCTTCATTGAGGTCTAAAGGGTCCAAAATTAAACTTAGTTTGATTTTAACAAAAATTGATATCTTGGGGTTCTTTGATATGCTAATTCTAAACATGTGTTTAGATTTTTGATTATGGGCCCAGTTTTCAAGTTGGTCCAAGTTGGGGTCCAAAATTATACTTTTTTTGATTTCAACAAAAATTGAATATATGGGGTTCTTTGATATGCTGAATCTAACCATGAATTTAGATTTTTTATTTGTGGGCCCCGCTATCAAATTGGTTCATATTGAGGTCAAAAGGGTCCAAAATTAAACTTTGTTTGATTTCATCAAAAATTGAATTATTGGGGTTCTTTGATATTCCAAATCTAACCGTGTATTTAGATTTTTAATTTTAAGTCCCGTTTTTTAAATTGGTCTACATTAAGGTCCAAAGGGTCCAAAATTAAACTTAGTTTGATTTTAGCAAAAATTGAATTCTTGGGGTTCTTTGATATGCTGAATCTAAACATGTGTTTAGATTTTTGATTATGGGCCCAGTTTTCAAGTTTGTCCAAGTTGGGGTCCAAAATTAAACTTTGTTTGATTTTAACAAAAATTGAATATATGGGGTTCTTTGATATGCTGAATCTAACCATGTATTTTGATTTTGGACATTGGACCATAATAGGTAAATTAAAAAAATTCAAGTTCTTAGACCACATTCTTTCTGTGTCAGAAACCTATGCTGTGTCAAATATTTAATAACAATCCAAATTCAGAGCTGTATCAAGCTTGAATGTTGTGTCCATACTTGCCCCAACTGTTCAGGGTTCGACCTCTGCAGTCGTATCAAGCTGCGCCCCAGCGAAGCATTTTATTATATTTTTGCCTTACATATTTGGATAAGGGCTTCAAACTTCTTGCTTTTAATGTGAAACTACAAAGACTGTGAAAAGGTCTCATTTCTTTACAGCTTGTCATTAATATTCAGATATAAGCCAAGGCCTTACCCAAAATGATATTTTGCTAAAATCTTACACAAAGGTGTAAATGTGGGTAACATATCTTTTTGGTTAACGCCTTGGCTCATATTTAAGTTTGCCAAAAACTATAAATAAAGTGATCTTTGTTGGTCAGATATATCATTTCAACCTGTTTATGACACCACCCTTTTCATTTATCAATATAACTGACATAATTTGGATAAAATTATAAAATTTTGCTATTTCAGAGGCCAAACCAATGGTATACCTCCTACTTTAAGCTTCAGGTTTATATTACAAAATTGTCCCCTTAAGGCAAAGTGGAGTCGGCAATATGGAAATGCAATGTTCTCGAGTTATGTCCCTTTATGAACAGATAAATTGCTGAATGTGTTGTATGTTTTCTAGTGGCGGCATTTGTGTCCCATGGACATGTTCTTCTTTCATTTTCTTATGCCTGGAGATTTTACACCATTAATTGTACATTTGTATATAATGATGACTTACAGATCAAGTTTGCCTTTTCTTCTAGTTGACAAAATTTCTCATAATTTCAGTCCTTGAACTTGACCAAAAATACATACCAATTTTCGGGGATTAGGTAAACTTGCATTTTTATGGATATTTAATTTGGTGGTATTGCCCAAGTCTGCATACAAGCATATAGACAAATTTAATTTCCTTAAACATTTGATTTCATGGTTCACCTATACCCACAAAATCCACGAAAACTGGTGTCAAAATAATACTGAATCCGAAGTATTTATAGAGACAAAATCTGTACAATCATTGCACATTGTTTTATTTTAACAAACCTTTTACTTATATTTTTTGCAGATATTTTACACACACTAACGGTGACTTGCTATAGTGACTGTTATGAATTATGATGTTATACTGGTGGTACCTATAAATCGGTATTTCAGGAAGAAAAGTTTTATTGTTTTGATCCCAGTGACTATCCTGTGAAGGGTTATATCATTATTATTATTTCTATTTTGCACTACAGGTAAAAAGATTTCAATTATCTGTACAAATTTAAATCTCTTGTAGTGGATGATAAAAGAAAAGCAAAGCATTCTCCTCTAGTTATGGCAGAAATTGCAAAGGAAGAAGGCTTGTATGTATAAATGAATGATTAAGTAAAAAGAAAAGTTGTATGATTTTTTGGTTTATTAACTCTGCTGATTTTCTTGTCTTTGGGCAAAAACATTTTTGTAAGATGCATGCGTGACTTAATTTCCTAATGGAAGACAATATAATCAAGGAAAGGAAGTAATTGTTTTTCTAAGCTATTTTAGTTGTTCATTCTAATAAGTAAAATTGAGAGTTGCTGTTTTACCAGTTAATTACTAAATTTGATTGAAATAAGTTCCGTAATAAAGTGATGCATATATGTCAGTTTGAGATATCAATGCACTGCAGTAACCTGTTTGATTTATACACATGTTTATCTTTGAATGTAGTACTTTTCAGTGCACACATATGTTTTATTTTGCTATAACCAATATTTTTCCTCTACCATTAACAGAAAATCTAAAGTTAAAGCTATTTTTATGCCCTCGCGGTAGCGGAGGGGGCATTAAGTTTTACCCTTGTCCGTCCGTACGTCCGAAATTGGTTTCCGTTCTCTAACTTGAGTTTGCCTCAACCAAATGTTATGAAACTTATACACAATGCTTATTACCACAAAACACAGATCAAGTTTGAATTTTGGTGGCCTCACTTTAACCATTCTAGAGTTATGCCCCTTTATAAATGGAAAATTTGCCAAATTTTTAGTTTCCGTTCTCTAACTTATGTTTGCCTCAACCAAATGTTATGAAACTTATACACAATGCTAATTACCACAAAACACAGATCAAGTTTGAATTTTGGTGGCATCACTTAAACTGTTCTAGAGTTATGCCCCTTTATAAATGGAAAAATTGCAAAATTTTAGTTTCCGTTCTTTAACTTAAGTTTGCCTCAATCAAATGTTATGAAACTTATACACAATGCTTATTACCACAAAACACAGATCAAGTTTGAATTTTGGTGGCATCACTGTAACTGTTCTAGAGTTATGCCCCTTTAGAAATGGAAAAATTGCAAAATATTTATTTTCTTCTAAGTTATTTTTAAAATTGGAGTTATCTTCCTTTGCCCATGATTATAGTTGAATCAACTACAATCAATGCTTTATACAATGCAATGTTTAATTTTGACTTCCACTGATAAAACACAGATCAAGTTGAATTTGGATAGTGTCACTTTAACCATTATTGAGTTATGCCCCTTTATAAATCGAAAGATTGCAAAGTTTTTAGTTTCCATTCTGTAACTTAAGTTTGCCCCAACCAAACATTATGAAATCTATACACAATATTCATTACCACAAAACTAACATCGAGTACAAATTTTTTGTTTCCGTTTTCTTACTTTAGTTTGCCTCAACCAAATGTTATGAAACTTATACACAATGCTTATTACTACATAATATAGATTAAATACGAAATTTGGTGGCGACACTTTTACCATTCTTGAGTTATGTCCCTTTATAAACATAAAAATTGCTGAATTTTTCGTTTATGTTCTCTAACCTTAGTTTGTCTCAACCAAGTGTTATAAAACTTATACCCAACTGTTCTAGAGTTATGCGTGTTTACAAATAGAAAAATTGCTGAATTTTTATACGACCGCAAAAATTTTGCGGTCGTATATTGGTATGACGTTGGCGTCGTTGTCGTCGTCGTCGTCGTTGTCAAAAGACACATTAGTTTTCGCACTATAACTTTAGTTTAAGTGAATGGATCTCTATGAAATTTAACCATAAGGTTCAGTACCACAAAAGGAAGGTTGGGATTGATTTTGGGGGTTATGGTACCAACAGTTAAGGAATTAGGGGCCACAAAAGGGCCAAAAATAAGCATTTTTGTAACTTCCAGACAATAACTTGTGTGTTAGTGTATGGATCTCTCTGACATTGTACCCAAAAGTTCCATATCACAAAGGGAAGGCTGGATTTGATTTTGGGGGTAATTGCCTCAAAATTTTAGGAATTAGGGGCAAAAAAAGGGGCAAAAACAAGCATTTTTCTAGTTTCATGACAATAACTTGTGTGTAAGTGTTTGGATATTTCTGAAATTGTACTACAAGGTTCCATATCACAAAGGGAAAGCTGGAATTGAGTTTGGAGGTAATTGCCCGAAACGTTTAGGAATTGGGGGCCAAAAAGGGGCCAAAAATAAGCATTTTTCTAGTTTCCAGACAATAACTTGTGTTCAAGTGTATGGATCTCTCTGAAATTGTACTGCAAGGTACCATACCACAAAGGGAAGGCTGGGATTGATGATGGGGGTAATTGCCTCAATATTTTAGGAATTAGGGGCCAAAAAGGGGCAAAAAACAAGCATTTTTCTAGTTTCAGGACAATAGCTTGTGTGTAAGTGTATGGATCTTTCTGAAATTGTACCACAAAGGGAAGGCTGGGATTGAGTTTGGGGGTGATGAATCATAAGGGGGTTCAAAAAATTTGGGGGGGGGGATTTTTTTTTTTTCCCTTTTTTTTCTTTTTTTCCTTTTTTTTTCTTTTAAAATTTTCCATTTTAAGTTGGTTATTTCTGATTTATATTTAAAAGCAAATAATAATGATATGGTAGGAGATACACACCAAACAGGATGTGTAAATTATTATATAATAAGTATTGTGCAATAGCAAGATATTTTCAATTGCACAGTATTGCACAATAGCAAGAAACCTTCAATTGCACAGTATTGCGCAATAGCAAGAAATCTTCAATTGCACAGTATTGCGCAATAGCAAGAAATATCCAATAGCACAATATTGCCCAATAGCAAGAAATTGTCAATGGTACAGTATTGCGCAATAGCAAGAAATATTCAATTGCACAGTATTGTGCAAAAGAAGATACTTCGTATAAATAGCTTATTTCTTGACCAATTTCAATGGGGTTTTATTCTTGAATTATTGGGGTTCTTTGATATGCCGAATCTAACCGTGTATTTAGATTCTTAATTTTTGGTTCCGTTTTCAAATTGGTCTACATTAAGGTCCAAAGGGTCCAAAATTAAACTTAGTTTGATTTTAACAAAAATTGAATTCTTAGGGTTCTTTGATATGCTGAATCTTTACATGTATTTAAATTTTTGATTATGGGCCCAGTTTTCAAGTTGGTCCAAATCGGGGTCCAAAATTAAACTTTGTTTGATTTCAACAAAAATTTAATATATGGGGTTCTTTGATATTCTGAATCTAACCATGTATTTAGATTTTTGATTTTTGGGCCCCATTATCAACTTTGTCCACATTGAGGTCAAAAGGGTCCAAAATTAAACTTTGTTTGATTTCTAAAAAAATTGAATTCTTGGGGTTCTTTGATATGCTGAATCTAACCATGTATTTAGATTTTGGATATTGGACTGCAATAGGTGAATGTCCAATTTAAAATTTTAAAGTTCTTAGACCACATTCATTCTGTGTCAGAAACCTATGCTGTGTCAAATATTTAATCACAATCCAAATTCAGAGCTGTATCAAGCTTGAATGTTGTATCCATACAAAAATTGAATTCTTAGGGTTCTTTGATATGCTGAATCTAAACATGTATTTAGATTTTTGATAATGGGCCCAGTTTTCAAGTCGGTCCAAATCAGGGTCCAAAATTAAACTTTGTTTGATTTCAACAAAAATTGAATATATGGGGTTCTTTGATATGCTGAATCTAACCATGTATTTAGATTTTTGATTTTTGGGCCCTGTTATCAACTTTGTCCACATTGAGGTCAAAAGGGTCCAAAATTAAACTTTGTTTGATTTCTAAAAAAATTGAATTCTTGGGGTTCTTTGATATGCTGAATCTAACCATGTATTTAGATTTTGGATATTGGACCATAATAGGTGAATGTCCAATTTAAAATTTTTAAGTTCTTAGACCACATTCATTCTGTGTCAGAAACCTATGCTGTGTCAAATATTTAATCACAATCCAAATTCAGAGCTGTATCAAGCTTGAATGTTGTGTCCATACTTGCCCCAACTGTTCAGGGTTCGACCTCTGCGGTTGTATCAAGCTGCGCCCTGCGGAGCATTTTATTAGTTTCTGTTCTCTACTTAAGTTAGCCTCAACCAAATGTTATGAGACGTACACACAATGCTTATTACCACAAAACTCAGATCAAGTTCAAATTTGGGTAACGTCACTTTTACCGTTCTTCAGTTATGTCCCTTTATAACTATATGATATGCAAGTGGGGGCATCATCTGTGTCCACATGTGGACACTATCCACATTTATTTTATTTTTCATTTAAAAATTATCATTCCTAAAAACATTTCAAACATCAAAAGGTCAAGTGATTTCACACTTACCAGGAGGGATTTGAATTTATAAATTTATAAAAGCAATAAATAAAAAAAAATCTGATACATTGTATATAGATTTACCAATGCATTGAATTTGTTATGATATATTTGTAAGACTCTAAAGTGCGATGGTACTCTAAAATACGATGGTCACGCTAAAGTGCGATGGTCTACGCTAAAGTGTGATGGTGTCTCACGCTAAAGTGCGATGGTTGTTTGTTTGCTAAAGTACGGTGGTGTATCAAGCTATATTGTGATGCACCAATAGGGTAAGGTTCGAGGGCTAAAAACGTTAAAGTACATGGATGTTAAAAAATAGTCTTTTTTCAAAAGCTAGTATGCTCACGTATTACATATGTGACAGGCTTTAATTTATGATTTACCGGTAGGCTTAAGTTATTGTTTCTAAATTTAGAAGACCGATCACGTAATAATTGCTAAAAAGGTAATTTAGGTGTCACAAAATACTATATTTCCTGTAAATTCGGGCATATTAAACATGTTAAATACTTGGATAATTGGTGTAGCTTGCCGTTCACACAGTCTATCAATAATCTGAACACCTCCCCTTACAGTCGTCTTTGTAAATTACAAATACAAAATTCGATCATTGTCAGAATATCAGTAACATTTATTTGTACAAGCTTTAATCTAAATGCGAGCGAAAGGTGAAATTCGCCGATCTTTCTTCTTTTTCGTAGCGTGTACACATACATGTTTTATTTTCCTACAATGTACAAACTATGTTTTAGCCGACAGTTTATAATTTATGCTTGAAAACATGTACCTTTATTTTACTGATGTTACTTTTCAATAAAATCGACAATATTTTAACAGGGATCGCAAAGTAAACTGCAACTTAAACAAATCAAATGTATGCGTTCGCTTCCAATAGAAGCAGGATACAGGATACCTAAGCATATACTATTTTGTATCTATATATAATATAGTAAAATGGCCAACTGCAGGACACAAGTCCTTCTTCCAGCACCCATAAAAAAAAACACACATTTGCTTCAACCGACAAAGCACAGTTAGATTTAAAATAAAGTCATGGACATTTGGTTTAAAAGTTGTTAATCAAATATTCTTAACTTATCTTCCGGCGTGTTCATTTTTGTCGAGCCTTCGACTTTAGTCGAAAAAGCGAGACATAGCAATCCTACATTCCGTCGGCGTCGGCAGCGTCCACAAATATTCACTCTGTGGTTAAAGTTTTTGAAATTTTAATAACTTTCTTAAACTATCCTGGATTTCTACCAAACTTGGACAGAAGCTTGTTTATGATCATAAGATAGTATCCAAAAGTAAATTTTGTAAAAATAAAATTCCATTTTTTCCGTATTTTACTTATAAATGGACTTAGTTTTTCTGCTGGGAAATATTACATTCACTCTGTGGTTAAAGTTTTTAAAATTTTAATAACTTTCTTAAACTATCCTGGGTTTGTACCAAACTTGGACAGAAGCTTGTTTATGATCATAAGATAGTATCTAGAAGTAAATTTTGTAAAAAAATAAATCCATTATTTCCTTATTTTACTTTTAAATGGACTTAGATTTTCTGCCAGGAAACAACACATTCACTCTGTGGTTAAAGTTTTTAAAATTTTAATAACTTTCTTATACTATTTTGGATTTTTACCAAACTTGGACAGAAGCTTGTTTATGATCAAAAGCTAGTATCTAGAAGGAAATTTTGTAAAAAAATAAATCCATTTTTTCCGTATTTTACTTTTAAATGGACTTAGATTTTCTGCCAGGAAACAACATATTCACTCTGTGGTTAAAGTTATAAAATTTTAATAACTTTCTTATTGTTGAGAGTGTAGAAATATCTTCTTGCATGTTACTTGAATATGTTTCTCTAATGATTTTTCAGCATTTTATTGGCAAACTTTATGTACATTTTTCAATGGTTGCAAAAATATTGGTTTGAAATAGTTTTATACTTGTATAAATCTCAAAAGCTGCACTTCAATAAAGCTAGAGACAAAATTAAGTCCTCCACTCTTGACACCCACCAAGCTACTAATGGTAAAATTCTGGTAGCAAGAAACAAAGTTTAGAAAACAAAAACGCCTTCAGACAGAAAGCTACTGCAAGCACAGAAAACTGTCCACCTAATTCAATGCTTTACTCCGTCAGATGACAATATTAATGGTGAAAAAATCTGGCAATTCATTCACGGACCCGCGATGTAGGAGTGTGTTCTTGTGTAAGCTATGTCAAGGTCTGCCAGGTAGTAACTTCCTGTTTGACTGAATTATTATTAAACCCTATGGTCCAGGAATTTTTTGTCTATGTCTAATATACACACAATTTGAGGTATACTTTACCCAACGTTGCATGCAACTTCTTGGTTCCAAAACTTTCACTATACAGAAAGGATCTGGTTGATGTTATTGTGATATTTTGTAACCACTAATTTATTTTCCAGACTATCACTGTACAGAGGGCTGTTCCCTGTGCTTGTAACTTTGTGCTGTTCAAACTTTGTTTACTTTTATACCTATAATGGATTGAAGACAACATACCTGAGTGACATGGACAAGGAGACACCTATAAAAGATCTTACCTTTGCATTCATAGCAGGTAAAATGATTAAAAATGCAACAAAAACCAAAAATTATGTTTATTTCTTTGATTTGATTGGACAATACACATGTATGTTGCGTAAAATTTACTTTGTAAGAGTACATGGATGAAGATGTCATATCCTTGAAACCAAAAATGTAACTTTTGCTCAAACCACAATAACTGATACCCATGAATAAAAGTACTTTCACAGTAGTTATCAAATAAGGCAATTGAATCATTACTACTTTTGTCTCCCCTTCAACTTACTTTAATACTTATATGCAGAGTGTGAGACAAATGATGGTAATGTGAAATCCTAAGCCACTAATATTAAGCTTTATATTTCCGAAAGGCAAAAGAGCTTAAAATGCAAATGAGCTTATGTGAATTTGTCAGAAGTGGATCATGCTACTTAAGGTTCTGTGACAGTTATAAAATAGGAAATCCAATTTCAACTGGATTGTAAATTAAGATGACTACAGATTTATTTTCTTCTAATTATCAAGTGACATTAAATCATTATACTTGTGAATATATGCAACCCTTTTTAACTGGATTTTCGAGGAAGAAACAGTTATTGATTTGGGGATGGCAGGCAGGCGGGCGGCTGCCAAACAGTGTCTGTTCATTAACATGAAAACGCTTCGACGAAATCTTTTCAAATTTAGATATATTGTTTCCTGTGACTAAATGAAGGTCAAGTTCAATTTTCACGATTTTAGCTGTTCTTGTTGAGTTGTAGACCTTTCAGTAGCAAAAGTGATACTTATTATATGATTTATTTATTTTGAGTTATTTCCCTTTGAACTGAAATGGTGTAATTAATAAGTACAGTAGACTCCACCTAATCGGATATCGGCTAAACGAATATATCGGCTATTGTAATATTATTTCAAAACACCAAACCCTTCCCTATATGTTTAATGTTAATTTTATCGTGTAATCGAATATCGGATATAAGAATATATCGGCAAATCGGATAAGAATATTCAGGTCATTTTGTTCAAAACCATGCATAATCGGATGTTTTCAATGTTTTTCTGACAGGAAATGGACCGGAAGTTACGAATACTGTAAATTCAGAAATTATTGCGATGTTTTTATTATTGCGAAAAATGCAACAGGGTTATAATCGCAATAATTTAAACTCGCATTTTGAAATTTTTAAAATGAATTTAACACGATTTTTCTCAATATCGCAAAAAATTAAAATCGCATTTTAGTCTAAAATGACAAAATCGCAATAATAAATGCACGCAATAATTTCTGAATTTACAGTATTTACAATCTTGCAGACAAGAAGATTTTGTTTTTACTAAATAAAAGGAACTATTTCTTAATAAATTGTTGTCTTTTATCATTGTCTTCCTTTGTCATGTGAATTAGATGCCCTTTTACTTCAAATGGTTTGAATTTATTTACAAAAAATATGCAAGACTCAGTTCACAGTTGACGTTGCTGTTTGGAGAATTTTGATTAAACTCTAAATGTTCACAGAATCAGAAATATAATCTAAACAGAATGTACCTCCTTCTAAATAATTTATTGCAATATAAATATAAATCGCTTTTGACAAGAGAAATCTGACTTTTGTCAGATATATTTTTTTCACATGTGCAAAAGTAACCACATGTCATGGACGCCATGTTGGATGTTTACAAATTTGTGAGGAAGCCTCTAGAACTATGACCTAAATATAAATAGTCTTCAGAAAACGTAAACTTTATGCAATAATATTTTATCAATCATGATTATTTTCATAAATTTAAATTTGATTATTTAAAGTAATAAAATTATAACAAATACGATTTTAGTTTGGAGATTCTACACAGACATGCTTAGATCTATTTATAGCCAAATTAGTTTATCTGTGTGATAATGTAAATAATGGATATTAATTTGCTTACAAAACAAATAAAGACAAACTATGGATGGTAGATAATAATTCACATAAATATTTCAGGACATTCGATATATTTTTATAAATAAAGGATTTAAAAACTGCAAACAAATTTAATCATTACATAATCAGCTGATAATTTTTTACACAAACATCGTGGTGATGTAACTGATAAAAATCACTCCATCAATCCTCCAGCCCTTTCACATATTTAGCAATTGTCAGGGTTAGTAACATCTCAGGATTATATCTACTCATTATTGCAGAATATTCAATGAATATACATTTATCGTCTAATTGAATATATCGGGTAATCGGATATTTTTAGCTGACATTTTGGGTATCCGATTTGCCGGAGTCTACTGTATATGAATAGATAGTCTATCAATGATTGTATCTGTTTATTCTATAATATGTGGTAATTATCAACTAAAAAAATTATAATTGGAGTGACAGATTTATTGAAAAATTTTGTGTTCCCTAAGTGTTGTTGGTGATAAACTCTGTAGGACAATATAAATATAGTTTGAAATTTACTGCTCATTATTATATATTTTGAAATTAATTACAGATAATTTGTATAGATTAATATTAATTATTATTATACATGTAGTATTAATGATGAATGATATTTTGGAAAAAAAAAAATTTCTTTTTTTTTTTGGTAAATGTTTTGAAGAATTTTGTGGTAGGCTTGTTTGTTATTCTGTATAAACTAATTTTCTGAAATCTTTTCCACAAACTTATTGTTTTCGGTTTGGTAATAAATTAATAATAAGATCCATTTTGTTACATCTGGTGATCCGTTTATTTGGCAATCGCCAATGGCAGTCAGCAGGGTTTAAGAACATCAGTTGTTCGACCTGCTAGTCAAATGTGTTTTGTTAAAATATACTTTTTCACTTTTTTGGTCTTTTGGAAGATGTTGTTTGTGCTGTATTTAGACCCCTCTACCAAGAAATTTGTTTTCCATGCACCCATATAAATTTTTTTTTTTTTTTTTCATGGAGCAAACTCCTTTAAAAACTAAAACTTATATTGTTTATTAATAAACATGTATTTAAATTTTTGATTTTGAGCCCAGTTTTCAAGTTGGTCCTAATCGGGGGTCCAAAATTAAACTGTTTGATTTCAACAAAAACTGAATATATGGGGTTCTTTGAAATGCTGAATCTAAACTTTTTTTTTTTACTTGATCCTGTTTGGGGGTCCAGATTTGCAAATATCATTTTCATGCAGGAAAATCCAGTTTGCTGTCTCTCTGACGGGCGCATTACATTTGCGCGCATTTGGGGATTAAAATTTTTTACGTTTGCATGCAGCTTTTGATTACATTTGCGTGCATTCATTTTACAGGTAACAAAGATTAAATAAAGATCATTCATAATAAATATGACTAATGAATTGGGAACATATTTGTAAATTTAAATTATATATTTTTCATATTTAATTCTAAATATATATACAGTGATCATGTGAAATCCCGCAATGGCTTAAGACATACATGTAACTCTATTGTGAACATATCAGCGTAAATAGTATTATGTTTCATAATTTAACCGAATAGTGATTGCTTTAATAAATAATTTAAGTCAGTTTGTAAAAATGCATCAAGGTACACACATGGAGTTCAGTTTGTTGTCAGAAACAAATCAGTGGAAAAATCGTTAGTGTTAGATGGATTTAGTTTCCGTATCGATAGAAAACTTAAGTCAGGGGATATTTCATGGCGATGCGCTGTAAATAATTGCAAAAGATATTTCACCAGATTCCCTATTTCCTCCAAGTCTTTGGGCAAATGCATTGAGGAAATACCTTTTGCAATTTTTTACAGCGCATGCGCACAAATGTAATGCACCGACTCTGACAGCCTCTTGTTTTTAAACTGCTTTTAATCGCTTAAGACTTTGTAACTGAAGGCAATCAAGGTAATCATTGGGAAATCAATGCCATTCCGACAATGACTGACATGAAACTTTTAATATGGGTGAAAATTGTTTTACTTGTGTATATCAATAAAATGATTTCATGTATTACAATAGAATGCCTTATCATGTGCTTGTAAAGGGAGCTCACTTGCAGTCATAAAATTTCATAGTAAATAATAGCACATGGTCAACCGGTGAACAAAAAATTGTCTCCTTATAGGACTTATCATACGTTAATGACAGTTTTTGACTAAGTTCAGGATTTTTGCCTATTTTCTTTTAGCTCTAATTGATGCAAAGGTCAGCAAACAGCAAATATGATCAGCAATACAATATCTACAAAAAAGCTAATTTGGCTGAAACCTTTAATTTGACTCCTTATAAGAGTTTATTGCCCTTAAATGACAATTTTTTTCTATTATTTTTTTTTGGGGGGTGATGTTATTGAATATTATGTTGAAAACTGTAAAAGATAGATTGAAACTGTAACTATAAAAGATAGATTGAAACTGTAACTATAAAAGATAGATTGAAACTGTAACAACAAAAGAGATAGATTGAAACTGTAACAACAAAAGAGATAGATTGAAACTGTAACAACAAAAGAGATAGATTGAAACTGTAACAACAAAAAAGATAGATTGAAACTGTAACAACAAAAAAGATCAGCATTCAGCAATACAGATTTTTAAACAATGCCAACATGAAGGAAACCATCAGTTGACAACCTTTAGGTGTTATTGACAATAAATTATGATTTTTTTTATCCAATTTTAGCATACTGTAAATTCAGAAATTATTGCGTGCATTTATTATTGCGATTTTTCAAAAATGGACAAGAATGCGAGTTTAATTACTGCGATTTTCGAAAAAATCTACATACAGATCTATGGTTTAGTTATCAAAATGCGAGTTCTTATTATTGCGATACTCGACGAGTCGCATTATTCGCATTAATAAAAACCTCGCAATAATTTCTGAATTTACAGTATTATCTTTTAATTTGTATTAGATAAATAGAAATTTGGAAGCAACAAAAAGATCATTTAAACAAGATATGCAAATGAGTCACGTTGCTAAATCTGTCAAAACTGTGATAGCGAAGTAAACGGATGATTCAGATGAAAAAAGAAATGTTGTCTAAATGATGACAATATCTGAGATTTAATTGTACAAAATCATTGAAA